ACCCCGTGCGCTGTTAACGCCGCCGAAACGAAAATTAATAACGATATATCGGAGATAAATAAATAATTAAAAGAAAGAATATCGAGCCGAATAAGAAGAGAAGGTAATTCTAATTTCACGGTATAAACGTTTGGTAGATTTAATACCACTTTCGAGAGAGTGAATCAATCGTTTCACGGAATGTGTGATTGGAATGTATTTGTTCGGCGGGAAATCGTTTTCGAGATTTTGCCTTGCGTCGAAAATCGACCGTTGATTGAGTACAGAGAAGAAGAAGGGAAAAAAAGGATCGAGAATTTCCGAGTCGATGAAATATGGTAGTCGACGATCCTTGACGTCACGCGAATAGAATTATAATTTATTTCGATTGTATTATTTGTATCGGCAGGAAAATAAAAAGTCAACGAAATATAATTAATGTGCAAATTTCGTGCGTTTATAGTTGAACGTTTCATCGGTTCGCACGGGTTAATGGGCAGACTAACAAATTAATTAAATATTTCCCTAATTATTTCGTTCCACAGATTCAATCGTGTACGTCGTAGAATCGGACCTGGCTCGAATAATAATTAAACATGGCGTAATAATAATATTCAACGAGAAGGAATATTCGATATTCTTTTTATTTCGGGGGCCAACAAATTCGATAAAACATAATGAATTGCATCGACCGAAACGTCCAAAAATATACAGATATATGTATACCGTATATAGTTCCATTAAAAGCAAATTAAGCTGACCTATTTTTTACGTCTCGTTCATCCCATATTTTCGCAACAGAGTTTGATTGCGTTTTAAAATTCGAACATCGAAAACTGTCCGCTAAATGAATTTGACCCGTCAACTTGTTAATTTACTGATTTATACGATGATTCGTTAGAAATGTAGTGCCTCGTAAAACGTATAAAAATAATTTATCGAAAAAAAAAACACGTATGCAACGGTCTCCGTCAATTTCATCTTTTGAATGGGAAAGAAAAAAAGGATTTTAGATTCTGACGAAAGAAGCAAGTAATCATCGTGGTTGAAAACGATTCCAGCAGTTTGCACAGGGCTTTACGAAGTCATATTTGTATGAAACATTGCCACTGCACTGAATGCGTTATGTAAGTCACGCTTCTGAATAAGAGCCTTTGCAAACACTGTATTGATTTTTGTGCGTTAGTACTTATGCATGTATGTACAAACCCGACACAAACCGGCATTAGGTGATCGTTGCACGTTTCGTGTATATTAATTTCCTGTTGCTTTTCGCGAATAATTTATCGTGCGTCTCCTGTACACGCTCGAAAACAATTTTGATTCCTATCCGAATGCAACGAATAATTATATTTTCGAATTCCCGTTTCCATTCAGGAAAATCATTAATATTCTTCGCGAATGTCGATATAAATTAAAAATAATGCTCGTACGGTTAATATTAGTACAGCGTTTCGGAACGGAGAACTGAATAAGCAAATTTTCTTCTTCCGACATAAAATATTTCTAAAGAACAGAAAATGGAAAGTTTACACCACTAGTTGACCCGCTGTTTAAATGAAATTTCCTTTCATCCGTTCTTGTTTCCTTCAGCTCGCGTAGCAAACGTTAATTGCATGCATTTTCATACTAAGTGCTTCCCTGGAAAGCAATATTTTTATGTTCATAACGTTACAAAATTGTTGAAAGTGCGATTTACGTTTTAAATTATTTTTCAACAATTTTCTCGTACGTCTTTTAAACCGGGAATATTCGTAGTTAAAAGAAATCTCGTTCCAGTTGCTGTTTTATCTAAAACTTTAAGTCCATTAAGTTACCGAGCATGATACCCACATACTACTTAGCTCTTTAGACACTTAATAATTAAGAACTCGAGTTAAGTTCCGCTCGCGTTCAGGTTCTGCTAACACCTAGGTACCCGAGTACTTGGTCTATTCGAGCACTCGAGCCAGATGTTTGGGCACTTTCGGATACTTAATACTCCCGGAACTCGAATCGAGTGCTCTTGCACCGAAATTTTCAGCCATTTATCAGAAACGAATAAGATCGGGCGAAAAAAACGAGAGCAAATAAATTTCATCGTTCCAGGAACAAATTATTATATTTCTTTCTATCGGTTTTCTCCGGCGGGGAGGAAATAAACGAGCGTAAAGTGTTTTCTGACAGAGTGCAATGAAATATTCACCACGTGTATGTTCGATCGCGATGGAACGCATGCAAAACAACACTTTGCTCGCTCTTCTTTGCCATTTTCTCTTTTCAATTCGTATTTACGATATACTCCACAATACCGCGACACGCTTTTCTTTTTTCGATCTTTCGATTTTTATATCTCCCCTTTTCTTTTTTTCCTTCCCTCGTTTTTACTCGATTTACAAATCGCTGCGCATCCTGTTTTCATAAGACAACACTTGCCTCTTCGAAAAGGTATCCGTAATTATTCATCGAATTTTATTGGAATTAAACGATCGACCGGTGGTAGACCGCAAAAGGGTCGAAGGTTCGATGGTACTCGTTTCAACTGGAATTAATCTGTCTTATAATAACACGATTACCGCTGCCACGATATTGTCCAGGGCACATTCGTGTACTCGGAATCAAATTCACCTTGTATTATGCTAACGACATGCTAATGGTCTCCTTCTTTAACGACCGTTTCCTTTCGCGACAGTCCGCTTTTGATTATTCTACTAGTCCTTTTCTTCGTACTACTCGTCTCTAGTACAACTTTCAATAGTACAACTATTCCACTTGCACTATACAACCGCTCCAATACGATTTTTCACCGCGACTCGTTAATTATGAAATTTCTTACACGACTCCGTCGCTATAATAGTAAAACATAGGAGGCGAAGTCTGCTTAAGAACACAAAATTTTCAGAAAACTTTACTCCAAGTTTGAATGGTATGTTTGCGTTGTATCATCGTGCAAGATGTGTATAAATATTTGCCGTGTCGGTGTTGATCTTTGATGAACGTTAACGAGACAACGCGACCGTGTAACAATTAATGATTATAGTCGAATAAAATGGAGTGAAATTTTCGTAGACAATTCGACGAGTTCAAGATATACAATTATTTAACGAACCCGCGATGAAACGTGGTTTCAAGGCAGAGTAATATTTGGGAAATACACGGATCGAGGAGTAATGTTTGTAACGAAGGGAAAGAGGAGAAAATAGATCGGAATGGCGGAGTTGAAGAATGCGTGAAATTCCATGGTGGTACTCGTGAAACAAAATATAGATTTATATTTTCGTTGCTAATAGAGGAACGCGAAAACGAAATATCGGTTATCGAATTTTTCTTTTTCCCAACGTATATTGAAATCGAACACGTTTCTTTCTAAATTCATGCGATCTGTTTGCATAAATTTACCTTTAATATCCGTCTAATGGAGCAATTATTGCGACTTGAATAAAGTTGGAACAATTCTTTGTTTGCAACGTGTGCAGTATGTTACAATAATCAAAATAATTTTTTATTTGAAAATTTAAAAAATGTCTTGATCACAGTTTGCAGAGGGACTTTTATTTCAAACATTTCTTTGTGAGATTATTGGAGATATCCTAAAAATTTTTCGACTGCACTCTGTACACAGGACGAATATCGCTCCATTTCGAGATTGAAAATATAAAAACATTTACCGTTCACTTTGTTTCGTCTAAAAAATAATCTAAATTTTATTTGTCTTTGTTCGCCTATTACCGAGATAATTAGCTGAATTACTCGTGTTCCTCTATAAGACCAATGAAATTCCCAAGGTCGATAGCTTTCGTTTGTCAAGGTTTCGTTATAAACATTTTCAATAAAAGTAGATATTTTATCAAATTTAACCGGTCGAGAATTATAAAATATATTTATTTGATTAATGACGTACGTGCAAAAAAACCCACGATTTTTTAAATTGAAATATTAAAAAGCATCCAAAAAAACTTCTCGGCATAATGAGTTTTAGTTCTGAAACAACACTCCATTACAGCGTGTAACTGTACGCAGAAATACAAGTACATATCTACGAGCTGGACAAGGTTACGTTCTAATACTGTCCGCAGAAATGACGTAATGAATAATGCATTCTCCGGTTTAAATGTTAGTTTTATGAAACGCAATACACGTACAAGCCACGTGCTGATGAACGTTAATCCGTTTCTCTATTGATGCACGTTTCACGATAACATAAATTCGCTTAATTACATAAAACTGGTTTATCCAGCTTTCGACGATTATGAAAAAGAATCCGAAGTCAAATTACATACAACTTTTTGTAATTGAACTCGATGTCAATCGAATACAATTTTTTTAAACGAACACGCGATCAATCACTTTCGTATCTAATCTGACAACCGAGTAGTTTCAGATCCTCCTAATTGTTCTAATGAAATTACCTCGCTAACTACAGAAATTAACCCATCAGTCGAGTGAAAAATCTACGGAATCTAATAACGCGCTTATTCATAGATTTTTGCATTTAACGTCATTGTTTCGTCGTAATTATTAATACAGCATTTTTTTATTGCCTGGATTTCAGTCGACGATTAATCAATCGTCGTTGACATTGAAGATTGTGCTAATGGGCTTCGAGTCGACGCGACGTTTATATTAATTGTGTAAAGCGAGGTTTATAATCGTAAATAAATAACGTGTAGTTAGGAAAATAGATGTTTTCGAGTTTCTGCAAATTTTTCCCAATAAAAAGATCGAGCAATGCAACAAAACCCATAAACCGGTTTACGTCGAAGGAACATTTCCTTCTCGCGAAACGACACGCTCTGCTATTCGCAGATTACCGGTTAATTTACAATTATTCACGTTGTATGTTTTTCAATTAAAAGACCAGTTATTTGTTGGCTCTTCGTATATTATATATTTAGAAACTCCCTTTTACCAACGATAAGAACAATGTCCGTTCACTTCTATCAAAATCAGGTTTCCTTTTTGTTGAAGGAAAGTGAGACTACTTCGATTCTAATAACTTATTTTCGGTGTCGAAGAAAAGTGTAGGAAAAAGCGATAATTACCTCTCCGTGCGTGTCCCTTCGGCCATCCGGGGTGTTCTCTGGCAAGAAGTAGAGCCGTAAAGATGCCAGAGGTTGATTTGGGCCCCGACTATCCATCCATAAAAGTTGAAGTTCCCCGATGCTAACCAAGTCGGCATCGCTCCACAATTTTGTCAGGAAGAAGCTGCCTAAACGCAGGACACGACCGTTTCCTATCCTCACCGCTTTGTAAAATGTGTACGGGCCGTGGCTGAAGCAAGCACTGCCCAATAACTGCAACAAAAACATTTTTCACAATTAATCCAACCATTCTCAAGCCTTTCGTAATTAAAATTTAATCCAGATATTTAAAATTAAACATAATATCGGTAAATCAGGTTTCTTTCGCGAATCTGTCAGAAATTCTAGGAGAATTATTTATAAAATTAATCAGCGTCTCCCAGTTTTTCCGTGGACGTAGCCAGTTGCCAGCAGTTTCGTTGATCGTTTCTCGGTAAATGGTAATTATTGTTAATTTCACGCGGTATTCGAGAAGAGGAAAAATAAGGCAACGTTTCGTTGTCAGCGAAACGGCAAAGAACATTTAAGGGTTACCGTCGAGCATGCTTATTTGTAGGCCGTCAGTTTGGTTTTATGGATGTTCGTCGAGTGAAACAAGTCGTTAGATGACTCATATCCCATGCCAGGAGGGTCTCATTTGTAACAATGTGCTGCTTTTAAAGAGTATTTACCGCTAACGCTATTGTTTCTTAATAAGTATTATAAAAGGTGCCTTATCGTCTTGATATTGTGAATTTCTTACTACACGTCAGAATAAATTATCGCGTGCCTCAACACAATTTTCTATCCTCGATGAAGAATTCAAAATATTTTACCGACGTCGAATGAATCCTATTACCGTTCTCGAGAATATTGAAAAAAAAATTCTACTTAACAGGCTGTTGATATTGTTGATTGATAAACCTTGAGCTCGTTTAAAAGTGTGAATAAAAAATGGCACACGGCGTGTTTAAATTCAGATAACGTGGAAACTAATGAAGGTAAAGCAATAAATTTTCCAAGGTACATTTAAAAGCGGTTCTCTCTCGCGCAACCCCGGTGAAAAATAAAACGTATCAATTCCATGCTTTTAATACAAATTTCGTGTCAGCTTTCGAGAATTATGGATTATCGATACGATTATGCCTTGGCTATTTATACGCGAGTGGTGACATTTAATAAACGAGCCTCTTTAAAATCAGCTACGGTTAGATAAGAAGCGGCTTAATTTTTCCTCGAGTATATCGCAAACATTTGATTAAAGCGTTGAAAAGATAATTTTCACTCGATCCAATATTTTTGACGATGAATGACTCTGGTACCGATTTTCATTTATCATTTTCAACTAAAAGATTGCGAGCGTCGTTCGCCGAAGAGGAAAACGTTTATTATCGTACACGAGCACAAATACAGGGATAAAATGAGTTCAACAAGAAAACTTTTATAACAGTCTCTCGTATAATTTTTCAGCGAGTCTTTATGTGAACGATTTGTACCTTTTTATATCGCTTCTTGTATATTTTCTGTTAAGATACAATCAATGTTTAAACGAAGCGGCGTATCGCGCGCTGCGTACCGCGCATGCGCGCTACTCCCGCGGCAAAATTAAATTTTTCTATTCAAGCGCGTTTAAATGAATACATTATCGGTAGTTCGGACAAAAGTGATCCATAGATATTTATTTAAAGGTACTTTAAAAAATGAATAAAAAAGCATTGTATGTTTCGTGACAAATGGAAACATAATTTAACGATACCGAAATTGTGTACGTGCTCAAGGTGTTACGTACACAGAGATAAGTATACGGTTACTATTAGATATTCTTATCTAATCTTATTCAATTTTAATTTTGAATCCAACGTTATTTTATAAATGTACTTTGGACTACATATTCTAAAGCAAATTTTATTTACTGGATGCCTAAAATTTTTGATGGCTGACATAATATTTGGTGATTTAGAATGAAATAGTTGGATCGCATTTGTTATCTGTTTCAATTTTTCCTGATGAAAAGAGGTGTATTCACCTTTTCCACGCAGCTGTGAGTTAATACGAGTTCAAACACCGAGTCGTATCGAATTGCAAATGCGATGTCCCGAGCTTTCACGGCAATGAAAAAGATTGCCATCGTAATTCGGAATATCCAATAGCAACCGAGTGCAAAAGAGAAACGCCTTTCGTTTCCTGTCCCTCTCTCTCTTATTGCTTCGCACTGACTCCATAGAACCGTCTACTTTTGCAGCCAGAACTTGTCCGATTCTTCTTCTTTTGCTTTATTTACTACGGTCGATTTGAAATCGTACGAATTGTCGATGTAAAAGCGACAGAAAGGTCCTACAATTTGCATTTCGAAGCCCGTTTTTATCTGTCGTAAAATACAATCTTCTCGTAATTGCAACGTAGAATTATAATTTTTTTCTGGAGCCGAGAAGAAGAAAGACGGAACGATTAAATGCTCGAATATAGACGGAAATAATGGGCACGGTTCTTTAATTCTTATTCAGGATACACAAACATCGCGGGATGCTCGCAAAAAAAGCACAATTACTTCGTTAACTCTAATACTTCAATAGCACGGCTATTTCCTACTGCGATTGCATCGAGTTTAATTGTCCGCCAAGTCAGGCCTGTAATAATCCGTTCCTCGAGACATGCTACCATCCACTTAACCATATTTTCCTTTTTATCTTCCCTTCGCAAATAAACATAATAACGAGAAATAATAATGTTTCTCGTGCATTGTTCCAATTAAAATTCAACTCGAATCTACTTATTTACGATAAAAGCGAGAAAAATAATGCAACCGCGATTAAGAAATTGATAATTAGTAACTACGAAGCGCTACGAAGTTTCCGTCCGTACGTATTAAAATTATCGTTTCAGCGCCCGCAAAAAAATATTTAAATTTCATGCTAATTACCATTTTTTAAATATTTCCTTTTACGCGAATCTGTAGATACAAAAATGTTGACGCAACAAAAAGATACGCCGTTGTCGTAGCAGCGATAACGCGTCGAAAAGAAAGTGCATCCCATTCGATCAATGATTGGAAAAAATATACTCCCACTTAATCGAAAGCACGTGCTCTCTCTGTATCAATCAAGGCGAGTTCGTGTTACATAATTGAATCAATAAACGTAGAGTATAGCTGCCCGTGGAATGAGCACCACTGCCATAACTATTTCCAATGTTTTAAGGGTACAGTCGCGGCCAAAAGTTTCCACGTTGGTCAAGAAGACACGATCTGGCCTGGCTCGACCACCAATGGTATTTATAGCGTTAATCTCGTTTCTCTGCTACAGCTGCATCGTCTGCGAAACCCCAACGCCATTGATATCGCAATTGCATCTACCAACTCTCCTCCCTTTTTTTCTCTCTTTCTCCTATCCCCACTTCTCTTCAACTATTCCCCGCCAGCATCGCGCGTTCACGTAGAGTCCACTTGGCCCGTTGTGCATGGATTTTCGTGAAGCGTTTCTGCCTTCATTATTTACCCTCACACACTCCAATTACCATCGCGTACCGACCCAGCCAAATATTTCGCCGTGGCATCGTGGAATATAGCGACAACGCCATGTATTATTCAACGCGGCTTGTCGATGCCTCGTTCGAGCACATTTTATTCGTGTACACATGCGAAACGTTACGATCGCTTTATTATTTATGCTCGTTGTCAGTCATGCCCAGTGACGCTCATTCATCGACCATTAGAAAAATACCATACAATTACTTACTAGAAATATTTCAAATTTACGAAATTTTTTTTGTAATAATTCATTAGTAGTCCTACCATTCGCTACTCTAAATAATAGCACAGCATCCTTCCTTTCACTAACGATAATAAGGAGGGAACCTAACCTAGAGTAACTATACAGTACACCCAAGTATCTCTAATTTTCAATCAGTGTCATTTAACCTTTCAGTAAAATATAAAATACCTTGCTGTCAATGTTAAAAAAGAAAAGGAAAGAAAACGTTAAGAAATAAGAGAAATCTAGAGAAATAGTTGGCAAGGAGTTCTCTGTTTCGTTGATTATCATCCAGATGTTGTTGTTCGTGCATAGAAACGAAAATATCGATTTGTCCGGCAAACACATAGGCGCACGGCGCTTATAACCGTGCATCGTACATTTTATTTCGTGATTAATCGCGGCAGCTGTTATAAATAAAGCTAATATGCAGATTGGCCGGCGGACAGAAAGACACGATCGAGGACTGTTTAATAATCATGAGGCACAATGTGTGCCGGCTTTGGTATCCTTGACTTCACTTGCAGATTGATAAAAATATAGGCAAAAATAGATTGTTTACTTTTGTTTATCGATCGAATATGACGAGAAGAGAAACAATCTCGACTAATTGCTTCATATCGCCATTTAATTAAAAATCTTTTAACGTTAAAAATTTTATTTTAGTGTGTCAATTTGCCTGTGTACTTTTAAAATTTCATTCCGAAATTTAAACGCTGAGTTATATCGAAATTTTCCAAAAATAAATTCGCGTTAATTATTTCTTTACTTAATTCCGAGTGTAAGTAGAAATCACGAATGTAGATTAATTAGTTTCGACATAATGCAACACTAAAGCTAAACTAATGAATAACGATGCAAATAAAAAGAAACGTGTCCCGATTTCTCGTTTTTATGTACAGCTAAATCGATTAGAGTTGTAAATGGAATCTGGTTGACTCACGGTATTTAACTGGTTTTGAAATTTAAATTATTAGATGCAAATTTACGGTATACAGTCCGTTAAAAAGAAGTTCCTCGTTTATTACACGGACAAACAAGCTTTTCTTGTGTAAATATTCTGTTACTCGAATAATATATTCCGTTTCGTTGATCGATATCAGCCTTAAAACTGCATCACAAATAAGTCTTTTCCTCTCTCTTTTCCTCTCTCATGAATACCAATTATCAAAATCCAAATATTCAAGAAGGAATTTATTTAACGTTTATTCGGTGCAATCATTTACGAAACAAAAATGAAGGAACGAAGCTAACTTCCAGTTTCGTATTTACCGTTGCACGCTATGTTTCGAAATTTATTCACGCAGCCCTATGTATTACACCGAAATCGATATACAACCTTCACACACGTGTTCCTATTTTCATTTGGATTTAGATCCCCATTGCGAGTCGAGCGCTGTTTGTGAAACAGCCTTTAGGCTATATTCGCGCACACGAATTCTACGAGCAGCGATGGCTACGATCTTCGACGCAATAATTTTAGTT